GAGAAATGGGGACACACAGTAAGAGACCCGGAAAGGTACAATGAGATCACAGATCAGAATGTCACTACAGAAGAGTATGCCGTGGACAGTGTCCACAAAACTCAAGAGACAGTATAAACAGGAATGTTGGTTTTGGTGTGACGAGCTCTGGATAGAAGATTCTCATTAGACACGTGAGGTTGAGACGTACCAGAGGGCATGGATGCCATTTGCCAGGTAAGTCTGCAGTTGTAAAAACTTTCGAATGTTGAAACTAGCTATCGACCAACACAAGTTCCTTGTATTTCAGGGTCTACAGACAAAGACCCTGGGCAGGTTCACATTAGCAGAAGGACTTATTTTTAAAGGATCAGCAACACTTCCTTTTCTTTTCATCCTTTCTTTTAAAGATTTATTTATTTTAGAGAGAATAAGAGAGAGGGAGAACAAGCAGGAGAGGGGCAGAGGGAGAGGGAGAGACAGCATCTCAAGCAGGCTCCACAACGACTTGGGACTCAATCTCCCAACTCTAAGATCATGACCTGAGCCCAAGTCAAGAGCTGGACGCTTAACCGACTGAGCCACCCAGAGACCCCAACACTTCCTTTTCTTTGCTGAACTGCTAGTCTCTAACTGTGGCCAAATGCTTCCCACATGATTTGCCCTGTTCTTGATTCTTACAGACTATTTCCAGCATGTTCTTCCAAACCCAACCCAACCGCATTCAAGTCCTCCTCTTCATAATCAAGTGCCTTGAGATAACTTATTTTTGAAAGACTGGATACACTTTTGTCTTTGAGTTATGCAAATAAAGAAGCCAATTTCCTTTTTTAAAATTTAATCAATCAATCAATTTATGTATTTATTTTTGAGAGAGAGAGAGGGAGAGAAAGAGTGCAAGCAGTTGTGGGGGGGGTGTTGAAGGACCAGAGGGAGAGTGAGAAAGAATCTTAAGCAGGCTCCACGTTCTGCACGGAGCCTAACACGGGGCTTGATCTGAGGGTCATGGGTCAGGGTCATGACCTGAGCCGAAACCAAGAGTTGGATGCTTAACCGACTAAGCCACCCAGGTGTCCTGAGAAGCCAATTTTCTAAAAACAGACTGAACACACAAGGCCAAAAAAATCCAAAGAAAGCTCATGATTCCATTGTTTAAAATTTTAAGAACAGATATCTTAGTGAGGATGGTAGAAACTAATGGTTATGAGTAAGAACTCTGGAGTACAACAAAGTGGGTCCATCTCTGCACTTACACTCTGTAACCACTGACCGAGTTATTTAACTCATCCAAAGAATTTCCTTTTCCTCCTCTAGGGAAGAGAGAATAACAATAATAGCATGGACTCCATACGACTAAACGATATGCTGTAAAGTTCTCAAAAAAGGGCAGCTGCCGTCGTTATTACCCAAGTGTGAACAGCAGACTGTGAAGTCCAGCTCTCATGGGAGCTGATTATCCTTCATTCAAATGGCACCTACGGGGCCCCTAATCACAGGTACCGTATGCAGAGCCATGGATTATTCATGCAGCGTGTCATATCGGACTCCTAGAGCCAGGATGGCTGGAGAGGTGACTGATGAAGACTTAGAAAGATAGGAGAGAGTGGTTTCTCCCCCACCCCCCCGCCCCACTTCAATCAACCCTTTTCCTCTGGGGTCCACCATCATCCCAAGAAAGACGCATTTTGAGAATCATTCACCTCAACCATCTGCATTATGCAACCAGCTCTGCTATGCACCGTACTTCCAGAACGGAAGGGATGGAATTTGATGCTCCTCTATTACATGCAGTTGGAGACCAGGATGATGACAAGGGAAGAAGAAAGATCGTCTGGGAGAGCAAGTAGGCTTCTCTCTACTTGCTGGCGAAAAGAGCAAATTCGTCAGACAGTCTCCAAGTTCCTAACGGTTTTCCTGATAAAGGGGAAGCACATGCTGAAGCAGAGATATTTCTGCTTGTCTTTTCCTGATCATATGCTTGGAAGTGACCCCAGGTCAGGCTCACGCTTTCTCTAGGATCCTACCGGACCATTAACCGCTGTCACTCTCTATTAATCATGCCTGGTGTCTTTCAAATTGTCTGTGTTCCCTTTCAAAAATGTCAACAGGACAGCCGACAGGGAGAGAGAGCATGCTACAACTTAGAAGTCTCAATTTAGAGTTCTAGAATTCTTAGTTTATTAATTTCTTCTGACAGAGCCCAGATGTCTCCAGAGTAATTAGTAACAGAACAGGGTTAATGTAGCTGCCTCACAGTGATGCAGATTCATTATGACTGATTGTTCACTTACAAAAATTAAGCATGTCTAATTGAATTTAAACCCAAAAGGACAGCACCAGGCTTGCAGCCCACAGATAGCTCCACCTATCTTGTCTTCCTCCTATTTCAGAGGCTATCAGATACTACAGCATGGTAAGGATTATTAGCTCTTATGTATTTTTATCCATCTGATCCAAGCTATCTAGAGGTGAGGTTTATAGAGAGTAGATAAGTCCACTCTCCTTGGAAAAGGACAGGGGAAGCCAGAGATTGGGCTAATTAAGATAGCCTCAGTCTCTCATGTATCAAGAGTCCTGCGGATATCAGGCTGCCCAAGTTCATGGCTCACAGCTGAAGATGGGAATGAAGTGTGCCTTCATCAATTAGATAACTAGATAAACTAGGGGATGTTGTTAGCTAAGAAATTCTGTCGATTCTTCTTTTAAAATGTCTTTTCTATTTTTCTGTTCTCTCTCCTCCTGCTGTGATTGGCCAGATGCTTGTGAGCTCATATTTCAGATACAGGAGTAGCTCTCCCCATAGTCTCCCTGGTTCAAATTATTCCATTTAATTCAACTAGTGATTCTGGAGAACGAGGCATAGGGCTAGCCTTTTTTAGGCCTTCCACGGTCTCTTTCTGTTCATTATACACAGTGACCCAGGAAAATCTTTGAAAGGCTAGTTTTCATCACATTACTCCCCTGCTCAGAAACCTCCAAAGGTTCTCTGCTGTCACGGGAACAGAATCTAAATCCTCATACGCCTTACCTAGTGAACCCTTTCTCAATACATCCTGAGACGGACCCTCTGCCCCAGCTCGGCCACTGGTCATGGACCCAAAACAATGCCATCTCTGGGCCTCTGAGCAGGGCCTTCTCTCCTGGAATGTTCTCCCCTCATTCTCTATAAATGCCCTTTATGCTTGAAGGGACAGCTCAGGCTTCAGCCCTTCCATGCCCTTTTATCGGATTGCATGGAAATCCAACTGATACTCCGGAAAGTATTTTGGCACTGTATTATGTGTACATATAATATAGATAACATACAAAATATATACATGTAAAATTTATATATTAAACTGTCATTTGCATCCACTTTGATACCTAGCACCTGTGTGACGAATAAATATGAACTACATACAGGAGTTTATTTCGCAATATTTAATCTTCAGGGAAATTTGGCATCAAAGCCTTCAAAAGCCTACAGCTCTTCAAAGGTATATAATTGATTTCTAGAATTAGAATAAGCAACTCTAATCTAGAATGAAATTAGGAGAAACGCCGATGCTTATAAATCAATGTATGCCACTGAGGATGTTCACTGTGGTGATTTTTACAACAGGAGATGGGAGAGTCCACAAGGGGCCAAACACGTAAATCCTACTCCACACCAGGCAGCTAACAAAAGCATGTTGGGGAGTATTTATGAACATGAGAATCAGTCCACAAGATAGCACTACGTGCAAAAAGCTGCTGATAAGAGACTATGTATAGCAGGCATTTGACTTTCATTAGACAGACAGATAAAACAGACAATGGTTATCTCTTAGAGGCAAGTTTATGAGGGCATTTTCTCCTTTGTGCTTTTCTATGCATTTACATTTTGGGGCACTGGACTGAAGTGTTATTAACGTGTTGAACGGTTCCTTTAGATGGAAATGTGCTCTTTCAAACCACAAACATCTGGCTTGGATGGACACACACGTGGATAGAGTCGTTTGACTCAATCTTGTGTTTAAGCTGGACTCGAATGAAACTCAGCACCACGTGGGAGACACCCTCCTATCGCAGAGACAACATTCCCTGGGTGAGGAATTAGGAAGCATGAGGTCTAAGCGTGCCCCCGCTGCAGAGTTCCTGCTAGGCCTGATAATGGTACTCATTTTTCTTAAACTTCAGCTTTTCTACTATAAAAGAGGCAAATATTCTGCCCTACCTCTATCCTCATCACGTCTCACAAAAATGTACAGAGATCAATTAGAAACTACGAAAATATCAAGTGCACTATAAAAAGGCAGCTGATCAGATGGAATGGCTCTCAAGGTTAGAGAAACAACCCCCTGAAATCTTTACTCTTTAATTAAACCCCAACGTTAAATCAGAAAGTAGTGTCTGATTCATGGGCGGTGAAGTACAACTTCATTAGGTGCCCAATTTAATAGCAGTGGGTACGTTCACTAACACTTTCAACATGAAAATGTAAAAATCATTTTAGGACAAAATTTAACTCGTCTTTTAAAAGTATTTCCCACAATACACAATACTTTGCAGATTGTCTCTACTTTTTTTTTTTTTTTTTAGCAGAACAAACAGCACAGACATGAATTTTAATAGAGGAAATACGCCGGGCTTCAGATCAATAATTTAAAGACAAAAGCTTTAAAGCTTTGGCAAACTCATTACAAAGGGAACGAGGTACGACTCTTCATCTTTGCAAAGATTTTGACATTGAACCTAATTCACCTCGATGCGCAAATCATCGTGAGTCAGTCACACAAATACCAATGTACATATTTACAGATACACATGACAGGGGCTCTTGGCATATGGCTGGTGGGTGCATTTCGAATGCTTCTTGACAAAAACACACAAACCCAGATCACGATTGCGTGTACCAAGATGCACATGGAAACACCCAAACGTCCCACAGAGCAACCTCACCGGAGAGGTGCAACAGGGCTCAGATAAAAAGAAAGAGAATAAGAGATTATCCCTTGAAGGGAAGGCAGGGCTGCACGCCCCCGGAAGACATCTTGACTCACCTGTTAAGTGGTTGGCAATCCTGGCAGTGGGTTTGGGAGGCAGGGCGGGGGGTTGCTTGAGAAGGGACAGCTGCTTCACTGGGGTCTCCTCATGGTCTCCAGAGAAAGCAGCAGGTTTTTTGGGGGGCAGTAGCAGGACTGGTTTGGCTGAAGGATCTTGGGACAGGAGGACTCCAGACTCACTGGCAGAGGGACTCTCTTCAGACACTGAGGGGACAACCACACGACACACAGGAGACATTACACAAACGCAATGCAGGTGGGGCCGGCGGGAGCACACAGGACCGGGGGTGTGGGTTAGCAACAGAGTGGAGCACCGACTGTTCCAGGCCGTCGTGAATGTGGGGAGAGTTAAAGAGAGGCTGCTAGAAATCCAATAAAGCGGGGGCGAGGGAGTGGAGGGACACATCAGGGAGGCTGAGGCAGTAAGGGAGAGGTGGAGGGGGGGAAAGAGGGGGGAAAAAGGAAGAGGACATTTTCTCCAAACTATCCCAAGCTTCACCACTTCAACTTGGCATTTACACTACACCTTCTGTGAGTGCTCTAAACGTGACTCATGGGGCCACGGCAACAATCCACGGATGGCAGGTGCAGTGGGTCAGGGACAAAGTGCCCCTTCTGAACCAAACCAGCACCAAATGCTGGCATCTTCCCTTGGGCCTGTTTGCCCTTTGTCGAGTGGAAGACAGAGGAGATTCTGGGGCCTTGTTTTTGCCCACTGGGTCTCCCCGGGTCTGGGACATGAAGCAATGAAGCAGTCTAGAGGCTGACAGCAGGCCGGGCATCCCCACATGCGCGGAGTGGCTGCTCGTCCAGGTTCTGGGGCCAGCCAAGCAGTTGTAGGGGCTCCTATAAACTGACCAGACAAAGGATGCACCAAGATAACGTCTTCCTGTCTCCCCGCTTCCTCTCTCCTCTCAGTTGCCGGAATGATGATTTTCTGTTTGATTTCCCCCATTTCTCTTTGTTCGGCATTGGGTCTGGCTCTACCTTTCGGCCATGGGAGACCCCGACTGGCTCCAGTTAAGAGCTGTCCTGGGGCGGGGGGCGGGGGCAGCCTGGCCAATAAGACTGAAACTCTGAGTTCACTGGGATGACAGATATCCCTCCAAGGGTCAAATCTGTGTGATTCCAATGTCACAAGAAAGGTTGGATGAGAAACACAATTCACTGCTTTAAGTTGGAAAAACCTGCTCAGCCTGGGGGGGAATGTAACTCAGGTGCATAGTGTCCTGCTTCTCATCGCTGCTGATTGGCATGACTCCAGTGACTCTCCCCTGACCTCTTCTTCCTCCCTAATCCGGATTGCCATGTCCCCTGTAGCACCAAGGCCCTCATGAGTGCTCAGTTCTCCCCCTCTCCCAAGGGATGCCGTTATCATCAGGTCCCAAAGTGGAGCATGGAATTGACTCTGTGACCCCAGCTCTCCCGTCTTCCCACCTGAGCCCTGCTGATGCAGACTTTGCATATGGTGTGGAAAAAGGATGTGGTCTTTCTCCCCACACTCTGGAGATTCCGGGAGGTCCCTCCCCCTCCACCCCACCAAGGCTTGCCTCTTGACAACAGGGACCACTCCTCACTGGCTGCTGGGAGGATCCCACCTTCTGAGGGAGTGAGTACTGACCATTCAGAGGGCTTTGGACCAAAGAAGTAGCGATGGTCCAATGGTACCAAATATCACCTGTCAGCTGCATAGGAGTTAGCCAGTAAATTGTATACAATTTAATAGCCAATGAACACATCCATTGTGTACAGTAAACGGATACAATTTGCTAAACTGATGCAACCATTAGCTGGTATATGGAGACTGGGCTTAAAGGCCATGCCAGGGTTTTACAAACACGTGAATTAGATAGGTATCCTTTAGAAGAAGTGTAGGATTCCTTAGCTTGAGCTTAATAGAAACGAGTGCTAGGGAAAAAAACAAAAAACAAAAACCAATGACATTTTAAATCCCCAATAGTACAAAAACAGGGCCTTCTTCTTTAAAGACATTAAGATTCCAAAAAATGTTTTTGAAAAACTACAGAACAGTAAGTGTAAATATGTACTGATTGGGCAGTTTCGTCCCCATTTCCAGGAGATTCTTAGGCTTGGGGTGGTGCAAAACAGAACTCCAAGTCCAGCCAGGCTACAGGTCTCAAATGCCACATGCAAGTCAACCAGGGGAATTACCTGTCCCATCCATGATGTCTGAAGGTTGGAGCACCTCGTATGAGCAGGGATCCCTGGGCATGGGAACCGGCTCCATTTCGGACAGGGCTGGCAGAGACAGCTGGCTGGAACTCAGGGACTGTCCGTTTTCCAGCGAATCATCTTCGTTCGATATGGAGAGCTCCCCATCTGTGGGAGCGAGAGGGAGATGGCACAGTTAGACAATGCCCGCCTTCCAGGGAAGGGTGACAGTTATCGTCGGCTAATTGAATCTAAATGTTTTTGAACAATCTTTATCAAGGTCAATCTGTAAAATCTACACTTGTTCTTTTGCTTTTCAGATACTTATTTTATTTTTAGACATATGGCATCAGACTATGAGGGTAGCAATTTTCAGTGACCTCTAGCAAATTGCCTGTTTCCATCTTTCTAATCATAACTACCATATTTTGTATGTATTTTTTTTTAATGAAAGTGAATTAAAATTAACTTTTCTTCCCAATTTTGGAAAACCTGGAAAAACTGAGCAGGCCTCAAGGATTGGAAAACCAGGATTAGGAATGCCTACTTTAGGGAGCCAAGGGCTTCATGCCACTCAACAAACACCAGATGCATGGTTCTCTAAGGCTCTAGGAAAAATGCATCCTCTTTTGTCTTTACTCCCGCCAGCATCCAATTTCTCCAGGCAGATAAATGTTTAGGAGCTCGAAGCTCCCCCAGGCTTCCCTCCTGACAACAGGGACCACTCCTCACTGGCTGCTGGGAAGGTCCCATCTGCAAACCTTCTGAGGGAATGAGTACTGACCACTCAAAGGGGGCTTCAGGCCACAGCTGAGGGCCGCAGCATCCTAAGGATGCTGGAAGTAAGTGCCAGAATTCTCCCAGTGTCCACCAGTGGTCACGCCCTTGCGGGGAGCTGACTTTGATCTTGCTTAAAGCTCCTCAAAGCAAGGGGCCCGCAGCTAGTTCACACCACGGGAGACGATCAAAGGCTCCCACACAATGGCCATTTGTCAAATCAAAATTCCCCCAGTGTGATTTCATCCTAGCCCAGGGGAGTCCTAAATAAAGAGGCATTAAAGTCAAATTAATTTTTAAAGAGGACGGAAAGCTGTTCCAGTAAGATGAATAAATATCCAGATGAAAGACTCCTAAGTTATGCTTAGTCAGAAACAGAAACCAGCAAAGCAATTACCTGCCTTAAAACTGGAAGAAAGAGGATTTACTTGTAGAAATGAAACAGTGACACAACTCCAAGGTGGATCTTGTATAAATAATCCTTTTCTTGTGTGATGCTCCTCCCAAGGCTTTAATTTTATACACAACAATATGTGGTGGTAAAAGGATGCTCCTCCAGCCCCCTCCCTCCCCAGTTAGAACTGGCCTGATGAAACACGTTCAACAGAGTCATCTACAAACGGACAGGCTTTCGACAGCATAGGGTTCAAGGACATAGGCTATTTCACCTGAATCTTGTATAAACACGGAAAAAAAAGTAGAATAGATATGCAAAAAAATCATCTGAGGCAGACGACAGAAAGCACTGACACACTTCAAGATTGTGGTTTTCTCCCCATTTTCTTCATTTGGCCTTTCTGTATACCCGGAATGGCTCGGCAGTTAGTATAACGATAATTACAAAATGATTACTACTCCCTGTTGATAAGAGAAGAAGCGCAGTGTGGACTCTAAGTACTCAGTCAAACCAGGAGTCTTCAGGAGGGAAGGGCCTCGGGGGTGCGTTCCTGCATTGCCGTCCTGTCGGGGATGGTCCCCCGTCCCCTTAACACGTTTGAATTTAGCATGTTCACACTGATGCTGTGGAAAGTAGCACCGTCTCATGTTCCCAGTTGGTGGAATAATGATGTCGCTGTCATTCAGTTTAACACATCTCCAGGAAACCACTTTGATTTTTGATGTTCCCAGTGTAAAAAAGTCTCGGTTAAGACAACCCGAGGAGGAGGGGGTGTTTCGGGGCCACTGCCAAGTTCTGCTTCTTCGGGGCAATGACAGAATCAAATGACTGCTGTACTTTTGGGCAGGTAAGAAGTACCCCAGAAGGGGCACCTGGGTGGCTCGGTCATTAAGAGTCTGCTTTCGGCTCAGGTCATGGTCCCAGGGTCCTGGGATCGAGCCCCGCATCGGGCTCCCTGATCAGCGGGAAACCTGCTTCTCCCTCTCCCATTCCCCCTGCTTGTGTTCCTTCTCTTGCTATGTCTCTATCTGTCAAATAAATAAATAAAATCTTTAAAAAAAAAAAAAAGTACCCTAGAAGCAGTGCTAGGGAAAAGATACAACTGTAGTTGGATTCCTTTAGACTCTATGAATCTCGGTTTCATCAAGGCGGCTGGCTTAGTGCTGGAGGCTTTGCTAATATTGGAGAAGCAGTCCTAGGGACATAGAGACTCTCAAAAAATTTAGCTCCCCATAGATTAAATGTACCTTTGCTAAGTTGCAAAGACCCAAACCGCTTTGGAGAGGAAACAGTCTTGGTAATTCCACGGTCATAATTTCTAAAAATACATTTCCACCAAAAAGATAAAAATGAAGAAAAAAGAGTAAGACAACCCTCCTAACAAATACTATAATACATTTTTAAAATAAATAGCGTTAAAGAAAAAAAAAAAAAAAGAGTAAGACAACCTAACAGGAACAATTTATTTATTGGTACATATATATTTTTAAGATTTTATTTATTTATTTGACAGAGA